TAAGTCTGCAGTCTACGGGGTATCTTAGGCTACAGATTCTTTTAACTGCTTGATGGAGTGGTGGCGTTGTAAGTTGCCTAGATCACAGTAGAAACTTACTAATCGCAACAGGATTTTGAACTTTTTTGGTAAGACGTGTTTTTTTCGCAATGAAACGTGTTCCCTACTAGGCAGACCGACGATCTGGTGAAGGTCGCTGGAAGAACCTGGACGCGGGCAGTGCAGACCGGTCGTTATGGCAATCCTTGTAACATTATGGATGCATTAAAGAATTGAGTATTGAGTATTGAGCCCTTTGTCCAGTAGTGTACGTCATTAGACTGAAACGAACGAACGAAGAAACATGTCATGAAACAACACTTGACGAAATTATTTTACTATCTTTAATCAATATCGCATAACACATTTCCATCCATTATGAACTATGGCAGTCGTTCGTCTAGCTCAGGTGGTGATACATGCAATTTATTTGCTGAATATTTTCATTCCACATTTCAGTCGTCCCGCTCAGTGTCTTTTTTACCGCCCCATCCTTGTGACTCAATATCTCATATAACCTCAGTTGAAATAGACAACGATTATTTACTTAGGCTACTTAGACACATTGACATTAATAAAACCGCCGGCCCTGACTCTATTTCACCACACTTCATAACTAACTGCGCTGATAGCCTCGTCACCCCACTGGCATATCTTTTTCAACTTTCACTATCCACTGGATGTGTGCCCACAATATGGAAATCTGCTCTTGTGACGCCCATTCATAAAAAAGGTTCGAAAAATCTTATCGAAAATTACAGACCCATCTCCAAATTATGTATCTTTGCAAAGATTTTAGAAAAAATTGTCTACCAACAAGTTTATGCAGGTTTAAAACAATCCTTTAATGACTTTCAACATGGGTTCCTGAGCGGGAGGTCCACCACCACTAATTTGCTGCTTTGTCATGATATTATTACTGATCATATGTCATCTCAGAAACAGGTGGACATCGTGTATACCGACTACAGCAAATGTTTTGACAGAATCGATCACAACATACTCCTTAATAAGCTTCAGCTGGTCGGTATACACGGTGACCTCTTCAGATGGTTCAGATCATACGTAAATAATCGCTGCCAGACCGTAGCCTTGAATGGGTACACCTCATCTACCCTGTTTGTGCCATCTGGAGTGCCACAGGGCTCGCTTCTGGGGCCATTATTATTCACAATTTTTATCAATGATATTGGCGCTTGCTTTTCTCACAGCAAAATATTATTGTACGCTGATGACATGAAAATAATATGCCCTGTCCGAGACGAATCAGACTGTCTTAATCTACAACAAGATTTGAATGTTTTTCTGAGTTATTGCTCATTGAACCATCTTGATCTTAACATATCTAAATGCTATATTTGCACATTCTCTAGAAAACCCCATACTATAGCCTATAACTACACTCTCGATGATACAATCATCTCTAGAGTTGATTATATGCGAGATCTCGGCGTTGTATTTGACTCCAAGCTTCTATTTGAGAACCACATTGACTCGGTTGTTGCTAGGGCCAGTAAGGCGCTGGGTTTTGTTCTGCGGATGTCCTCCGAGTTTACCGACATAAAGACTGTGAAAATGCTTTATTGTGCCTTCGTACGCAGTCATTTAGAGTATGCTTCGCAGGTGTGGAACCCAGCCTATGAAACATACGTAACGAGGTTGGAGTCTATACAGAGACGATTTTTACGGCATCTGCAATACAAATGCCGCGTCTTTATAGAAGACTACACACAGCGCTGCAGGCGCTTCCACTTTTTGCCATTGTATATGCGAAGAGACTTAAACGACATCGCATTCCTACTAAAAATATTTCAAAATCATGTGGACTCCTCAGAGCTTTTAAGTCGTTTTCATATTAATACCCCCAAAAAAGTTACACGACACTTTAAAATACTGCAGGCACCCCTTACTCGGACCAACTATCGCAAAAATTCGTTTGTAATTAGAGTTCCTGATCGATTTAATTCTGTTTGTGATGACATGGAACTGGACTTGTTCAATACCCCTATCAACCAATTTAAAACAAAATTTAATAATCTCTTCTTTGTTAAATAGTAGTTTGAACTTCATAAATTAACATCGTTTTCTGTCCGCAATAAAATTAATTAATTGTATAACTATAGGTGGGAACTTTTAATTGGCCTTACTTTAATTATAAACATTACTTAATGTAACACTTAGCTGTAAGTTTTCCAAAAAATTGTAAAATAAAATAAAATAAAATAATAATTATGTTTGAAATTAAGCTACTACTTAATAACTCATTAATGTTTCTTCCTTCATATCTCTGACCTCAGACGTGCTTAATCCCAGCTAAGACAAGCAACAAATTCTAACTACAGTGTTCTTACTAGAAGCCAAGGATTATGGTATTCAAAGCCAAGCCCCACTTTGTGGCACAAAGGCCCGATCCGCAGTGTATTGGATCTCTGTTTAATAATGAACAAACCTCTGGTTCAATAAGAATTTACAAGGTAACGTGTAATTACTTGTCTGCATACACGTTTAATATCAGGAGTAGGTACTAGGTATATGTTTTATTAAAATACATCTTTGCTCTGCTAATCTAAAATAGAGTATAGAACATGCAAATTCATTTAACGAAATAGTAAAAGTGACAAAACTTTTTAAACGGACATTTTAAATCAACGTCTTGTGAAAAGACGTTGATTTGCACCACCTAACTTTAAGAGCAACTATACCGATAACCGGTGCTTTTTGTATACAGGGTGTTAGGTAAATGGGTATATGAGCCGACACTAGCCCATGTTAACATGGTCATATAAATGGTATGGTGAAGTCAGAAAATTGATATCTTCATTTTAATTATTTTAATTTTCATACAAATCGAATTTTATAAAATTTATTACTATATTCACCCTGTAGAGTTTAACAGACTTTTGACGTTTGTCAAAGTTAAAGTAAGATGGTTCAACCCAGCCTAAGTGTGACAAACAATACTCATTCCGTTGAAATATACGTTTTATAGTAACAGGTGTGTAAATAAATGTTCCATCAGCACTTTTCGTTGTATATTAATAGGTAAGTACCAGGACTGTAAGAAGGGGTGGCTCCTAGGGTTGTCACCCGTCTTCGAGAAAACTTTCCTATATTTTAGCGCACGGGGAAGCCCCGGCTTTTGGGAGACATCTGCCGAGGATCAACCGACTGGTTAACATTTTTATTTATGGCTTCGGAAAATTTTATATTATAAAAGATGAAAATAGTTTTCTTCGTGTATACCTACTGATTTATATGACAAATGTGATGTTCTTTTAACATATTATCTCTTTCATGTCATCAATTTTATGTTCATTAGCTTTGTTTTTAAATTTTGAGACCTCGCGAATTTAAGACACATTAGATAAAATCAATTAATTGTTTCTCGGTCATAATATCCGACCGCTAGGGGATTGATCTATCCACTTGCTTTCTAAAAATTGCTACTCACAAAGTCTGGCTCGTAGTCTGGGTTGCCTACAAAGGAAGAAGACTGTACATTTTCGTGGATGCAACTTTACGATCACCCATTTCAGAGCATCCAAAAATGATTTCCCTTAAATACAGCAGCCCTACTTGAGCTCTCATTTCCTTGACTCAGCTAAGTCGGGATTAGGCTGCTTCCCGCACGCATCGAGATTTGCCGGCACCAACCGCTCGGGAAAATTTATGAATTATATGTTTTATAAGAGGCGACACTTGCGCTTTTCACATGAATCTCATATTTTTGGCTTCGTCTCGACTTGCTCTTTTGTAATCCCCGTATACAGGGTGAGTGCAGAGGGAGGTGCTAAGTCTGAGATGTGTTCGAATTCGTAACACAAGAAAGATTTTTCTTCAATTTAAAGGGGGTTGTTTTTTTAATGAAGCATGCGGCGTGTGTATCAAGTAAAGTTCAATAGTTTAAAAAACTTAGCTACGTGTATAATATCTCATTTGGTATGTCAACTACTTTCAGTAAATTGTTTAGCTGTTTTCCTTGAAGCTTCTTATTAATCGTCAAATTACGCGAGCGCAAAAAACAAGTAGTTTCTAGCCCGAAATAACGGCACATGAAAGCTAAGATTTCGTAGAATATCACATAAGGTTTTCCACTCACCCTGTATTCCATACCTTTAGTCAGCGTAAGCTTTCAGACTTTCCTAGAATCATGGGTATCGAGCTCAATAGAATTGGGTACCTCTTAACAATAATAATCAAACAGACTTTATTATTTGGAATTATACCGAAACACTTCAATTACGTTAAGCAATTTCTCAGCCGGAAAAGAAAATGTATCCTGTATTATGGCAGCATAGGTAGGCGTAAAACCGAAATAATATTTATTCTGAGATTGCTTTCCGAAAAATCGGCACACAATGTTTGCTCCTACCAAACATTGGCGTAGGAACGACTTTCTACGCCATAATAGAAAGATAATTATTCGCTCCAAACTTCTATGTCGACGTTAAATAATGACAAATCTGTCACGTGTTTCTTTGTTTAGATCGTAGGCGTGTGTGTAAGGAACAATATTGCTTTTTGTGAAGTATACAGATTTATAATCCTACTAATGTTATTAATCCGAAAGTTTGGATGTCTGGATGTTTGTTACTCTTTCACGCAAAAACTACTGAACGGGTTTTGATGAAACTTTACAGTATTATTGTTTATAACCCAGATTAACATATAGGCTATAATTTATGACGATCTGTGACAAACTAATCAAATCAAATCCAAAATAGCTTTTTATTCAATTTTCGACCAGTATTTTGGCACTTATGAACGTCAAAGATAATAATTAAAAAAAGAAAGGTATCGTGAAGTTAAGATATCGTAAGTTCATCACTTATACGGCTGATGGAAAGAGAAGCAATTTTACTAGTGTATTTTATTGCAACGTAACTGTATTTTTAAACAAAATGTTTCTCCACACAGAAGGATTATAAAAGCTTGTAAAAATAGGGCAACATCCCACTGACCTCTGAAAATATCTCCATAACCCGATGTTCCTCGTCTGACTGGAAGGAAAGGGTAGTCTTATTATTACTTAGGTTCATCGGAATGTTATTTATAGAATTATTCTAAGTAAAATTTGGTGATAAAGCGCAAAATAATTAAAACAATTTATATGGAAACGTCAAAGATTCAGCTGCGATATTGTTTTCTAATTAGTCGTAAATTCCAACACATTTAGCTTTAGTTGTTTTTCAGATATCAAAATTTTATCGACACGCGATGAAATTCACAAAGTATAGGTATCATTCGGGCATTTATCAAAAATAACTTAGTGTAACATCGTTATAAACTGTCACATAATCGATAAAATAATAGAACAAATATTCCTATGTCATATTATGACATAATCAAAGGTTTCATAAGTAACGTAAATACTTTATCGTAGTGATCAATATCTGCAACGAGACGACTTGCGAGTACTATAAATCTAGAACTAGCTGCATAACTTTGAACATTCATTGGTTATTTTTAGCCTGATTAAAAGCAACTACACGTCGCAAATAAGCAGTAACGTAGTTAACTTGACGCCGAACTAGCTGGTCCTTCGAGCCGGACTGCGGACTTTATCTGATCTTCTTCGTATTAATTAACTTAAATGCAACAAGTCCGAGTTTGCTTTGCTCTCTAGACAGACTGTCGCGTATTTTATTATGCCGAGAACTGAATTAAGTAGAGTATAGCTAAGAATGAACATTTCATTTGATATTGAAATGTGTTGAAGGGTCTCATCTAATATGCATTGCATAGACGTTTATTTCGTAAAATGATACAGCTAGTTTTTTATATGAATATAGCTATGAAGACTCATGCAATTGAAAGTAGACAAAAAACATAAGAAGTGTGGTGAATTGGCGTTAGTTTATTTTGAAAATTCGCTTTGCTTTATTTCAAAACTTAAAGATTCTAAATATTTCTTCATAAGAACGTAATTTATTTGTATTCTCCCGGCTATGGCGGCCACTCATCTCGATTGAAAGATCACGGATGAAAATTGCATTCTAAACCCTTTAGAAAACAATTCCGTCCATTATACACTGCTGAAAACAAAACACTACACTGTCTTCCAGCTCGTTTGAACGGATTTTTATCGTTGCGAACATTTTCAAAGGCGCACCCGCAGTTTCAGAGCGCCTAATAAAAATTAAAAGTATATTCCTTCCGTAGATTCGTAGTCGTAGCAGATTAATTGACTTAAAACGTTACAAGTCCGCGTTTGCTTTGCTCTAGAGCGGTGCCGTGTTTTATTAAACCAAATTAAATAGTCCGGTTACACTGGGGCTGCTTCTTTGTATTGCGATGGGGAAGAAAATGTTGCAATAATACATCATAGAGTTTTTTGCTGAATTGGCTAGCAACTGACCAGGAAAAACCGTTAATAGTACAGCTAATAGGAACCTACTTCCAAAAACTATAAATTATTTCCTTTAGTATCTATTAAATAAGACATTTATTTTAATACAGAAATATTAAGCCAAATGTATTGTTAGTATTTTTGTGGTCTACGTAAGTATTGTTCCCTATATCGTAATTTTGATCTCTAAAGTATATAAATAATGAACATTGTCACAACATTTTACTGGGAACTCATTTAAGATAAATCCGAAAAGAAATTTTTCCAACGTGTTTTCCCTGATTTTCCTCATTACCACACGTTACTGGGCCACGGTTGTTCAGTAAACCCTAACAATATCAATTTGTGATCCAGAAAAATCAATCGCCTCCACGAGAGTACGACTGACGGTCCGATAGCGTCGGATATTGGGTCGTCGGGCTCCGTACACAGAACGATCACAAACTTAAACTCGTGTGCGTTATGCGATTTTAACCCCTTCTGTTTCGTGATAAGAGTTGAAATACCGCGGAGTGGGTACACGGAAGTGGCCTAATGACGGCCAGGAGTACAATAGCATGTGTGGGCCTTATTATTGGTATCTGACCTGACCGCTACGAGCGATTTGTCTAAATGAGATCCGGACCTCTTCGATGCTTTGTTATTTTTTTTATATCGCTGTCCGCTGGTCTTGACGTATTGGGTTGCGCCTTTTCCTCGCTTCTATAGACCCTCGATTGTCGCCTTCGAGATTTGTTAAAGCTTTATCGAAAGGACTTGAGCAATATTAGTTTTAGGTAAATCGGTTTCACGTCCCACATTTGTGCAAAATTGAACTATAATGCAATAACAAACCCTGGAAATTTCAGGTAGGCGTATCGCATGGAAATTCTGTGCCTAATGCCATGTGAATAGGTTCTATTTTGGATGCAGATGTGTTGAATGGATGTACTGTCTGCGGCAAGCACGGTAATCCGTAGAACGCCGATTAATCTTCGTTGCGACTCTCACGAGGTGGTTAGTTGTGGGTAAATTTGTGGGGATCGCCGCGATTTGCCGACCATGGGCCCCGGGGGCCGTGTTCGTCATACGTTAAGCCTTTGTTGGATAAATCGTCTCTTTTATCGATTGCAGATTAGAGAGGTGCATGCAGTTTAGGAGCACGCTTAGGGTTAACGATTGCAAGAAGTTCTATACCCGATATTTAATCTGTTATTGCTTCCAAAATAAGCTTAAACGTTTTGCATGGGCCATTTTATGTTGAAATTAATTTAATGTTGCATTTTCATATAATATATCAACGTGAATTTATTTGGTCAAATTGAAATCTTGAAAGTTTTCAAATAGTTTTTTACTATTTTGTAATCTATGTTTACAAATGAAAGCAAACTCAGATTGTTTCTACTAATCAGAACCATTTTCACGTCAGCGCAGTCAAATTAACCCTTACATTAGTTATGCCAAAAATATCAATATAAGACAAATTTGGACGTCATAAATACACGTTGTGGGTCGCGTCGCTTCGTGTTTGTGTAATTTGGTTGGTATCACGTGACCCCTAATGACGCGCTCGCGTTACCGCCACTAAGTTCACCATTAGCCTAGTCAACGGAGTGAAAAATAGAACTCTGAAATGCAACTATGAAATGTAAGCAACTAATATATTGCACAAAAGATACAATATGCAGGTTTTGGTACAATACGAACACAAACATCTTATGGGTGAAAGCTTTTCAAAGTAACTAGTCGCTTAATAAATTTGCACTTGATTCAAATGAAAGTATCATGATTTCAGAAGTACACTATTTTTTTATGTAGCGAAATCAAACAAGAAACCAAACTGTACGTTAGGAGAATACCCTAAATATGTAATTGGATGTGTTACATCTAGATGTTAAAGAAATAATACTGAATTCAGTCACGAAAAAAGTCAGTGCCGCGCGCGCTACTTTACCAAATTGTATTTTCGTGTTCAGACGAGTTTTCCTTATAAACGGTGTCATTAGACGGCGACACCGTGACAGGTGTTAATGTGGGAGGATGTATCGGAGCCATTTGTGTAATGTAAACAATACGAACGATGTTATTTCTCGATGCGGCGCAAGATTAGAACGCGTGTTTATTACGTATCGAACTCAAACTTCCGACCCCTCGTGCCTCAAGTTACCGAGTTACATTACGTATTATTTTCAAAGTACGATGATAAAACTCATAAATAAATTTACGGCCGTTTGTTAATTTGTTCGCGAGAGGAGCGTTTTTCGGAAACGTCAATGTCAACATAATTAACAGCTGATACTTTCCGTTTCTTCCACTTAAAACTTGAAGAGAAAATTGACGGAAAATTAAAGAAAAATACGCGGCTGTAATAAAAGTTTCTCTTTCAGAGACAGTAATAACTGTCTGAATGATAAGTTTCTAGGAATATGAATTCCCAGATCCACATTTTACATTAGGCGCGCGTAGAATGTTTTAATTAGATGTGACATGTCGCACCCGTAACTCAACCCGTTATGTTCGGTGTTATTACCAAGTTCCCTTAAGTAGATTGATAAATTATCGTAGAGTAAATTGTAACGCTCGAACCCATATGCTAGGGGTATTAAACAGGATAAAGTAAAGCCCACGAACGGTGCCTCTACTGTAACGACAAGAACTTGAACGAATAAATTAGTGAGGGGGACCTGGAGTCGGCAAACTGTTATCTCCATTCGCAATTTTACAGCTTTCGCGGAACAAAATCTTCAGAGTAATTATTCGGGTTTGAAGTTAGGAGGGAAACAAAAAAATTAAAGAGAAATCCGTAATCTTATTTCTGAACCTTTGAGTAGTCACGCAGTGTTAGAGTCCAAATCTGAGTAAAAAATATTCGCGAATACAAATTGTTCTGTTTATTTTCAATGGGCGTCCATGACTGAACACTTGGTATTGTGAGATTTATTTGTGAGGCGGGTTTTGACGTAACTAGGGAGTAATGGCTGAAGTTTGAGGACGTAGGCCGATACCGCATCTGCACGCTCCTTGCTGCAAGGATATAAAGTGGGAGCGCCCCAAAGAAGGGTCGTCATTACGTGGCCCCACGTCATTTGTTTATTAAACATCCTCCGAGATGGAACGGAATAATGGCACGGTAGACTTTGTCACGGCCGCTTTCCCTTGAAATTAAATCGTAATGATGATGCGGAGTGCGGACCTCGCTCGCCGCTGTTTCGGCTCACCCTGCCCCCATTATTAAGACCCGCGTCGTCTTGAGGTCAAAATGAATAGGTTTTTTAAAAGCCTGCCTGGTATGACAACTGTCATAGTTATGAAAAGAATCGCGGGCTTCGGGGCGGGAGGTATTGAAAGGGCGATGTTTTGCGAAATGGCGGCTCCTACCTGATTCTTTATTTGTGTCAGTATCACTTAAAAGGTCGCCGGGTAAGTTGGTGTTTTTAACAAGCGGCCGCTGAAAGTTACCTACCTTTTTTCTAGCGTTACTTAGTCCCTTAAGACCTTTGAAAAAGGTTTAAGTATTATTTTTAGACAATTTCTTCCAAGTTTACCTTTATTTTGACGTGTTAAACAGGCACATTCAAGGGGTCACTGGGCTTAAAATTTTGAGTAATTATACATGTAAATGGTCTACATACAGATGGTAATGAACAGAAAAGTATGAAGATACTAAGAATG